ACCGTGGCTAATTCCTCGCTACGCGCCATCCTGTGTCAGCCAAACGTGAGCGCACCAGCCCTTTCGCCATTGCTTCAAACTGCAGAAATACTCACATCATAGTCATTCCCTTTCCCCTCGACAGCCTGCTGCGCTATTATGCCTCCAGCTCCAAATAGTACGGCAGCGGTCTTGCACTACGTGATCATAGGCTTCCGGAGAAGAGCTGAACTGACAGAACCAGGCGATGTGGTTGGTTGGCTCTAAAAATGCGTCGACTAGCGCCGAGAATTGAAGTACTGACTTGTAAGCACCGATTAGCGTGGCCATTCCTGATTTTCCAAGTCTTCACGGTGCTGATTCCCTGTCAGGCCGTTGGTATGGTTGGTCTGGATGGACAAAGTCGAAAAAGAGGTGGTGTGACACGTGTCGACATTCGTCGATCAAAACCACAACAAACCAGAACAAACCCAACTCTTATCTCTGCAGTCTGCAAGACTGCAACCGACAACACCTATCTGGTGAGCCAACCGAATCTTACCCTATATGACATCGCGCAGAAGCTAATACATTTTACCAAGCATTTTTTTTCCCCAATCGATTATCCGAATTACTTATTCAGCACTGACAACGACGCGAACCGTGAATTTGCGCAAACCCATGGCCGTTATGACGGTCCTTGTCTTCCTCGCAATCACATATCACGGTTGAGAAAATTTACTTTGGTCAAGGCCGGGAACAGAACGCGGTGACGAGAAGGCACGAGAGGGCTGAACAAAGGATTTTTGTGTTTGGGTGACCGTTGAATAACATCGCTTCCGATGCAGAACAAGAGTCCAATGCCTGCCTCGGACCCAAACCCTCTGATTCTACTCTACATACAGGCGCGCCCACAATTTGCACTATGTCGTTTGTATGGTAACAATCACCCAAACACAAAATTCCATCTACCAAGTGACCAGCTCGGGCCTTGACAAGATTATGAATATTTCCTGTATATCGCGATCTGTGGCGCCAATGAGTTAGTGTAGATAACTCTCAGGTACATCGTCAAATTCTCGTACCGGGTGCTAAGTACAAAAGAGAGACTTGATAAAGTTCGCAACTTCTCAGTTGATGACGACGCTATACGCAGATCTAATAATTTGGCCCTTTGAGCAAGACTGACTCAGAGAGACAACAAATGGACAGACGCACGTTCTGAAAGTAGCTGTCCCGGAGAATGCTTCAGTGCCCGCCTGAAGTGTCGTTAAGTACTCTGAAGAGCTAATACTTCCACTGCCCGTCAGATACTACCACAGAAATAAATCAGTCTCTTTTAGGAGTAGGGAATTCTGAGATCGTCAACCTTGATAAAGACGTTGAGATCACCACTGAACTTCGTGATAATGGTGCCGTTGGACGGAAGGAACGAATACACATTGTTATAGCCGTTCGAGCCAAGATACAGGTCCCTGGCAGGAGAGGTCCTCAGAAAATATAAGGACAATCACGAGTGTTTTGGGCATACCAGGTATATCCGGCAAGAGAGATACTGTTCGCAAAGGCCACAGCTTTTCCATAGGCGTTGTACGAGAAGGATATAGGACCTGCACTGAAATTCGCGAGCCAGATCATGATTTCATTATGATTGCCCCCTCCTGGAGTCGTTGAAGTGAAAAGATCGAAAGCGACATCCGCAACCACGCTTTCCGACGTGCTTTGCGACCACTTCCACTTAGTCTACAGCGAATTCGAATTAAACATTCGTAATAGAACGGTCATTTGAAAAAAAAACTCACCAGAATGCTGGAGATATTTTCAAGCCCCTTATTCAACCCCTCGTTGAGTTGCATATTCGTATAACTCTTGACGTTAGTACCACTACCACCAGCCCATTTCCACGGGTTCTTCCACGCGATGGTGGTCCCGTTGAAGGACGTAATGGCAGCGCAGCTTGATCCAGAGCTGGCGTCTGATTTACCCCACTGGTCGAGACACAGGGAGTACTGGCCTGCAGTGACGCTGTCCCACTCGCCTGTGGGAGTGTTTTAATG